AATATTGATTTGGGGGTTTATATGAATGTGTTTCTGAGGGGAACTGACTGTCTTCAGAAACGTTTAGATGGTATTTTCTTTTCATCTGGTCTCTGTATAGTTCATATTAAAGCAGTGTTTCAGCCCTTTGTTTACAGCGGTAACCAAGGAAACGCCGTATATGGTGTTCCAGAAGCGCCTCCTGCTGTCAGAGAGAGAATCTGCGTCTCATTCAGAGCTTCTGCTGTTTGGTTTCTTCAGGCATGTAGCATAATTTCACAAAGCTAGTCAGAACATTCTGTTTTTGCTTCAAATTGGGTTATTATTAAATCAAATTATGTATATGAAATTATATAAATAAATGATATGAAATGATATGTATATGAATTATATAACTAAAATTAAATAACTAATTACAGATTTAGGCTAAATAAAGATGTCAGTCTTTATTTTTCTTCTTTTTAGGAAACAGATCAAAGAAAAAATAAACAAAGTCTACTGTTCCTAATATTCTGTATGTTGCTCAAAAACAAAATATATTGTGTCCAGCAGTTTTTTTTTTTACCTAGTCATTTAAAAATAACACATTTTAGAGCTGTAATGACAATACCGTGAAACCGTGATATTTTTGCTTAAGGTTATCATACCGTCAAAATCTCATACCGGCCCATGCCTGGCGCACAGATACTAGAGAGAGCAAGCCATCAACGCCATGAGTCGGATGGCACCGGGTTAGCCGCGAACTAATCTGATCCTTCTGGACAATCTCCTCAATCGGACAGAGTGGACGCATTACATGCAAACAGATTACATAAGAAGACCTCTGACTGAGAGTCAATCACGACAAGGGCTTGCACCTGACATCTTGAGTTGAGGCAGGATACACATGCACAAAGGAGGGAACACAGCACTTTTTGGCTACAGTGAACTTGATATAATACGGTTCCACCAGCATCTTTCCTCAGTAAATGTGCTGTCAGATCAGGTCACTGACATAAACTCATCGCCTTTGAATTCCAGAAGTTTTCGCAACACCTCAATTTCGACGTAAATCACTTTTGAACACTATGTTTCGTTTTTAAACAAGAATACACAGAAACCAAGAGAGAAATATAAAACAATTAAAGGAAAACTTCTTAAAGTACCTAAATGCTTTGAGGATAGCAAGATACTTCCTCACCTGTGTATTTTTCCCAATGTTTTTCCTGCCTGAGCCTTAAAGCGGTCTGGACGGATCTCCATCCTCGCGACTTCCGAGTCCGACCGGTGTGCTCCTGTTCCGTGCACCGTGCACCGTGCGCCTCTCTCTCTCTCTCTCTCTCTCTCTCTCTCTATGTTTTTCCTGCCTGAGCCTTAAAGCGGTCTGGACGGATCTCCATCCTCGCGACTTCCGAGTCCGACCGGTGTGCTCCTGTTCCGTGCACCGTGCACCGTGCGCCTCTCTCTCTCTCTCTCTCTCTCTCTCTCTCTCTCTCTCTCTCTCTCTCAGATTTGCATTACTATCTGTAGTTCAATTATCCCTCGGACATCCCCCGCTCTCTCTCTCTCTCTCTCTCTCTGTGTCCGTGGTCCAGAATATATTATAGCCTAATAATATATATAATATGCTAACACAATAGATGTCTCATAAAGCATAAAGACATTGACATATTTTTTATATAATCAATAAAAGCATTTTTTTTAGCTGCTACATTCCTCATGTAACTAACCTTTTATAGTCTATAGTAGGCTATATCGCACAGTCTGTCACTTGTAAATAAAAGTTGTGTTTGAGAGTTTCTCAGCATCGTGTGATGGTACCTTAGGTCCCTGTGTGAAAGTTTATGTGCAGTCTATCGCCACCCTGTGTTTACTACAGCGATATAGTGTATTTGCAGATTTAAATAATACTGATAATTTGGCAATTCATTAATAATGCAGTTATACAATAATTATAACTGCTTGCCAGATAATGTAAGATTTCATATAGCCTCAAATCTAAATCAACCGGTTTTCAGGTCAAATTCTTATTTTCATAATAATAACATGAAAACAGACTGAATCAACCTGTCTATATTTTTTGGATGGTTACACAAACAAACATTCTTTTAGGTTAAGGATAAGGTATATCAGGTAAAAATAGCTCACAAAGGTTTTCACTTCGTACAGATGGGTTTTTAATGTTCCACATATAATAAATATTTCACAAGGTGTAACTATAGAGTCTAAAGAAAATTTTAGAGGAAAATAGTTAAATTGTTTAATATTGTGTGCATTTTCCCTGACATTATTAAGAGTTTCATTTATTTCAGTTTCATTCTGTTTTCCTTCAATTCTGGTCTGAAATCCGTTCTGTCTTAAAACCCCTTCGCAACAATATTTATTATGAAAACTATAAAATTCATCTTCTAAAAATATAGTGGTAAACTAAATAAATATTAATGAAAGAAATGTGCTCTCACATCTATGACCAAAGAACTTTTTATTTGGTACAGACAATATACAGTGACTCTTCAGCATGGCACAAATTGTGATGGTAATTACAAAATATTGTTTTTGACACACATACACAAACACTCTAAAGTATCCAAACTATTCTGTATGTATTCTGTACTGTCAAATTACATTACAACAGAAGTGAATGAATAAAAAGAATACTCACAAATGAAGTAAACATGCAAACACCTCCTATAATGTATACACACAAACCCAAGCATGTTCAACAGCATAAACGTTTTTTTAAAAAAAAAGCTTTCATGTTTAGTCTAATGACTAAAACCTCTCTTGATCAGTCTAAAATGTAGACTAAAATCTTTCTGGTCTGAGACGGACCAAAAGCTGAGCTTTCCCACCCCTAATAACCATCAAAGGACCATGAAATTAATCTGTAATCTGTAGTATTTGTGTTCACACACCTGATTCAAGCTGAGGATCCACATAGCAGTCATTTATTAACTGTTCTGCATTGTTTTTCTGATCCCACAATGTGACCCTGGACCACAAAACCAGTCATAAGGGTCAATTTTTCGAAATTGAGATTTATACATCATCTGAAAGTTTGTTAGGATAGGACAATATTTGGCTGAGATACAACTATTTGAAAATCTGGAATCTGAGGGTGCAAAAAAAATCAAAATATTGAGAAAATCGCCTTTAAAGTTGTCCAAATGAAGTTCTTAGCAATGCATATTACTAATCAAAAATTACGTTTTAATATATTTACAGTAGGAAATTTACAAAATATCTTCATGGGACATGATCTTTACTTAATATCCTAATGATTTTTGTCATAAACGAAAAATCTATAATTTTGACACATACAATGCATTTTTGTCTATTGCTACAAATATACTAGTGTTATTTATGACTGGTTTTGTGGTCCAGGGTCAAATATGTAGATATATTAGGAGTGGGTGGGTGATGCTCAACCATGAGCTGTGCTTTCTGTTTGACAAAGTAGCTTTAACCTAATATTTGTGCAATCTGCGGCATTTGATAGTCAGATCATTTATACTATCATCTGTGGCTTTACTAAAAATATTGTAGTATTTTACTGTCACTGAAAACTACAAAATAATTTGTGTACTTAATTTATGTCTGACATAACTGTTGACTTTTCATGTAACTCTATTAATAATATATAACACAATTTCCTCTTGATATTATAACCATTTCCAGGCTAAAACAAGCTTATTAAAAAAGTTAACGACTAATATTTTCATACTCAAAGAAACTTTGAACCTCTAAATACCATTTCCTTGCAGAAAAGTATACACAAATATTAGTATTCTAGTAACATTTATAATTCTGATACATCTTTTAAAACGGCCTCCACCAGCTATATTCTGTATGATATGAGTGTAATTTCATGATGTCCTTTGGAGAAGCTGTAATTTGATTTTAATTCTAAGTGTGCATCTTTCTTAGAGGAATAGTTCACCTAAAAATGCTGAAAATTGCTGAAAATTTACTCACACTCAGGCCATCCAAGATTTGCAGTGAATGGGTGCCGTCAGAATGAGAGTACAAACAGCCACAAGTGATCCAGTCTTGTGAAGTGAAAAGCTGCGTGTTTATGAGAAAGAAATTAATGAAGATGGTTTTAACTTCAAATCTGTTCCAAATTCATCTACATGTTGAATGGCCTGAGAGTGAGATTTTAATTTTTGAAAGTGAAGTGTGGTCCCATAATCTGAATTTGTGCTCTACATTTAACCCATCCAAGTGCACACAGCAGTGAACACACACACCCAAAGCAGTGGGCAGCCAATGCTGCAGCACCCGGGGAGCAGTTGGGGGGTTTGCTTGACCTTTGCTCAAGGGTCTCACCTCAGTCATAGTACTGAGGGTGGAGAGAGTGCTGGTTATTCTCTCCCCCTACTGACAATTCCTGTCAGACCTGAGGCTTGAACCCACAACCTTCGGGTTACAAGTCCGACTCTCCATCCATTAGACCACAACTGCCCTCATTTTGAACATTTTGGGTGAACTATCCCTTTAAGAGGCACTTTTGGTATAGAGCACATCACTACAGTATGTACATGTGGGGATTCAAGAACAAAGCAATTCAGTGATTGGTGCACTTGCAAAAAGTGTCCCTCTCAAATAGGGCTTTGACTGACTAATATGTTTCATGAATGTTCATTAGCATAATGAGAATAAATGGAGTCCGCCTCCCTCCACTCCATTAAAAAAACTCCAATACTGATCGATAAATAGTCTTTTCGTTTTCTGCTCAAACACCTGTTGAATTCAATTTTGTCCCTGCATTTCCTTACAGCCCAGTGTCTTCCTCTTCCTCTCCCTCTTCCTGTTGCGGGAGCAGCCTGTAGTGTTCAGCACCCAGTGGAAGGAAGGTGGAGCGCGGCCGATTCCTGTCTTCGTCCAGTGGGGAGTGATGGTTATTCGGCTCTGGCTCAGCAGAATTGCATTTGGAGTATCGTTCTCTTGGAGGCTCAATCTCGCCCTCCTCCACTGGTAGGCTCCGCCCACCTCTGAGGAAGGAGAGCAGGTAGCCAATGGGCACGGGGAGAGATGCTACGATGATTAGCATGGAGAGCATGACCAGAGCCCATCCAGGATACTCGAGGCTAGTTTCAGATCCCTGACAAAGAGACATACAGTCACCACACTTGGGTGGATAATCTGCAGCAATATGGCAAATGTTTTTGTTCATACAATAAAAGTCAATGGGGTCCAAAACAACATTGTAGCCACTTGACTTTCATTGTACACCACCATGCAATGTTTTTAAAGAAACTAATAAATTTTTTCTATTCATCAAAGAATACTGAAAAATAAAAAAGTATTAAGGTTTCCACAAAACATTTTGTTTTCAACACTGAAAATAAGAAGAAATGTTTTTTGAGCAGCAAATAAACATACTAGGAGCATGTGACACTGAAGACTGCAGTGATGACTGCTGAAAATTCAGCTTTGAAGCACAGGAATAAATTACATTTTAAAACATATTAACATAGAAAACAGCTATTGCTAATGGTAATAATACTTTTTTTGTTGTTTTATTTACTGTATTTTGATCAAATAAATGCAGTCGTAATGAGTACGAGAGTCTTCTTTCGAACAGCAGCATATGTGTAAAAATACCAAAACTTTTTTCAAAATATATAAAGTCATACAGGTCTGAAAAAACATCAAGGTGAGTAAATTATGACAGATTTTTTTTCTTTTGGCCCTTTAAAGGATTAGTTTACCCAAAAATAAAAATTCTGTCATTAATTACTCACCCTCTTGTCGTTCCAAACCCGGAAGACCTTCATTCATTTATTTCTGGACCTTGACCGCGATAGTTGCATTGCTGTCTATGCAGGGTCAGAAAGCTCTCAGATTTCATAAAAAATATCTTCATTTGTGTTCTGAAGATGAATAGGTTAGGATTTACAGGTTTTATAACGACATGAGGGTGAGTGACAGAATTTTAATTTTTGGGTGAACTATCCCTTTAAAGGTATCTACAGTCATCATTCTTTTTTTTTTTTACATGGAAGTTAGTTTATAATGGTCCATCTCATTTGAGAGTGTATAATACCGTGGTGTGGTTCCAAGCTGTGTAAGTGGGCCGTTTGAAGACCATACGGAGAAGACTAGCAGCCAGCAGTCCCACCATGCCGAGCAGACACACATACTTCCACAAATAGCAATAAATCACCGGAGGGCGCCAGTGCAGCATCACCTCCACATCATCCAAGAAACTGGAGAACAGCAAATACAATGATGTTTAAAAAACTACACACGGCCGATCACACAAACCATATTAACCCCAAGATAATCATCTTAGAAATCTATCATCTCACCGATCAGCACCGTAAATCCACG